CAGTTTGAGAAGTATACAGACCAGTATAATGTTGAAGGATTACTTGAAGAACTTATTTATCTAAACAATTTGTTGACAGATAGTGTTTTATATTTACCTGTTATTTACCCACTTACCAAACATAGGGGTAATAAACAATTTCACTATAACAGTTTACTTGCACTTCTGATTGATTTTGAACCCAATTAGGCCATTCCCCAGAGGAATATCCAAGGGTAGTGATGTGTCAGCCTTTGAATTCTTCCATTATTCAAACTCAAGCTGAAAGACTCCACTGAACAAATCTGATTAGTCAGCATTTAAGGAATTCTTTAAAACATCTTCAGAAAATTGAGAAATTATTTTTTATGCTATCAGTGAGTCAATTGACTGACAAGTTCTAGCTGTGCAGCTCTTATCTTTAACTACAGACGAAGGTAATTTGATGCTAACACTATCAGAATCTAGTGTGAATCTGACCTTACCTTACACTTCTTATATACTGTATACCTGACTAACTCAACCATGGTATATCAACAATAACTCACAATTAATATCAGCCAATATCCCCCTCTTTTATTATATAATGCGCACTTGAATTTTGTTATACCACATAAAAGTTGATATTGAGTAATATAACAGTTCTTACCTTCAAAATAAACAACCACCTAACATTTTTAGAATGACCTCAAGGCCTTTGACCTCAATGACCTGTCCTTATTAGGAAAAGATGCTGAGTAAATACCAGAAATGTTAAATAAGGTCATACTGTTATATTTTTACACCAAGTAGGAAAAGTAAGAAAGAAAAAGAAAGAAAATCAGAATTGAATCTGCCACCGAAAAAAAATATCAAATACACAGCTGTGCATGATCAGTATAAAAAATGTGAAATATTTATGACTTGCAAGTCAACACTCCCAGTATTCATTCTTAAATTCATTTTTTAGACCTGATAGACTCTTATATATAAGCATTAAAGGGTAATATAACACCATGAATTATTCACGATAGTTATTTTCTTTGCCAGGAATTTTAATATCATTTTGCTCCTTCTTTGTTTCAACAAATTGATCACATTTCATTATATATATTGCATTAGTAGTATTACATCCTTTACATACATGTTAAGAAGCCCTCAAAAGTGGAAATCTAATAGGAGTAATATCAAAAGTTGGTAATCTAATAGGAGTAATTAGAGTCTAATTTTTCATATAATTTGTCACATGTCACTGAAGATCTGCACTGTACTGTAGGCTGTATAAGTAAAGAACCCCTCAACAAGTAGACAAAAGGAGTATTGGTAGTCTAGTGCTGCTTTCTTGAAAATCTGTTATTACACATAGCATGACATTCATTATGAGCCCAACAAGGAGCAGAAATATATGACTGAGTAAACACTATTATACATAATATAATTTAAGACTACCATTATATATTAATTATTGAAAATATGCTAGGGAAATCACTTTATTATTTGATACTGATAACAGTTCATAGATCTACTAATCCTTTCTAGTACTAGTATGTATAAGTTTTGTGCATTGCGTCTGCCAAGATAGCACATCTTAATTACTCTTTAATGGTTGTTTAACACAGACAGATAAATAACGTCTCTGTAGACAAAAGCTAAGTTCATTGAATAACTTACTTTACTGAGTTTGGATTTCACAAAAATGCCATCATTGGATGCCATTCCATTCTGTCACACATAAACTAGCCCATGAAAGTACATATTTACCTAAATAACCCCAAGATATTGTAGAAATATTAGTAAACTTGGCATCATTTTAACAAGTTAGTTTAATTTTGATATGAGATAGATTTTGTCCCTTGAATAAAACCGTTGAAAAGGAGATGCAAATTTATTAACATCTATGCACTTATGCCTGAACTCTATTTAATTTGCCATGAAATAGTATATCTAAATCCCCTTTTGAACCTCAATCTTTGTTAGTGAATGAAATTAACATATTACATGGTCAGCGTGGCCAGTTACTGGTCAGCTTCAGCTATGAAATATAAATAAACCAAAACCTTCAAATAATATCTCAATCATTTCAATTTTGTGAAAATTAACATGACATTAGCATGGAATAAGCCATTCATGATGTTGAGTAAGAGAAACTGTAGAGGGATATCTTATAATAGACTTAACAGACAATTCACAGACAAGAGAAATTTTCTCAAGCTTATACAAAGATTGTTACGACGAATTTCAATAAGTTTATCTTATCATTTGGTTCTCAATATTCCAATAAAAGACACACTTTTACAGGGCTGGTATTGATTTCTGGAATTTAGTTCTGATGACATGTGCTTTAAGATGAATCCAATGATCTAAGATGATCCTAGTTAATTTATCACGCTTATCTAATTTGCTGGAATTCAGCCTAAAATGCTATACCTGGTAACATAATTTTGCAATAAAAATACAGTATTGTTTTACTACTTAAGCTAAGCCCACTTACCCAGATCTTCCATTGTGCATCAGATTTTTAATACCAATAGGCCAACTTTAAGAAAATATTTTATCACAGATAAGAATTAATCCTTGCACGTGTTGAATTCAATTTCTGGAATAAACACAAATTGAGAATTTAAGCCTTTGGAGCTCTCTTGATGTCAGACAAATTTCATAATTGAACTTTATATGATAATTCACAATTTCTATCATAAAAAGGAAATGAAAACAGTAACAGTGATTATTAAGATAAGAACTTTCTCATTTCTCCAATTCTAAAATGAATAAAACATAAAAAAAATGTACTAAGCCATTTGTCCTAAAATGTCCTCACACTATATTCTACGGAATTGCATGATAATGACCCTAATTCTGGACTGAATATCAAAATGTATAAGACAATGTAAGGAAGCCTGGGACATAGCCACTCTACACTATAAAGCTGTAGGCCTACAGGTAATAGGCCTAGTTTAGACAACAAATTTGTGGTCAGAGAGAAGCTTATAGATGTATAGATATAAGAAATTTTATAACAAGTTTCAGTTATAAAAGTAAAGCATGACTGGTTGGCCAGGTAAGAGCACTGAACTGAGACTGTCTTTTTTTTTACAAAGCCTTCCAATATTTCGATTACTTCCTCCACAAATTGTCGTAAATTATAATATTTACGTCTTGAAGTTATCACTGCTATTAATTTATGGACAGACTAATACTCCCTCTTGATCTCACACTTAACAATAACTTCCTACTACTTACCACGTTATAGTAAAACGATTATAATCACATTTGACAGTCTTCTTCGCCTTCAGCAAAATAAAAGTCAGCCATCTTGGCAAAGTTTGATGACGTAGTTAACAAGGGAGCGGTTATTGAGGCAATTTCGCCCGAAAAAATGTATTTTTATCAAGAATTTTGATATCTTAAACACAATTTCAACTTCATAAAAAAAAATCTTTGAAAATATCATCTGGCAGCTAGCTAATGATCAAAAATGGTGGCATCAAATTTCAAAAATACAACTTTCTAATAGCAACTGAGTACCTCTTTGAAATGGTCTGAAATGAGACAAGACAGGCTATGCCTAGATTTATTTCCAATGCTTCCACTGTTTAGTTTAGCCATGCTTAAATCAACTGTTTTATTTCACTCAAGAATCATTTACAAGGTTCAAGCCAAGGATGAAAGCCTTATCACAAACGCCAGAAATGGATCATTCAATTGCTATGTCTAGGCCAATTGGTCTTTGTTATCAATATATCGCAATTCTGATGTCAATATATATATCATATATTTTAGTCAACATTATACAAAGACAAGAATAAATAGGCTATATTATTCAAGAGTAATGAAAACGCGTTGGGACTAACTTACTGCTGTCTGCAATATCACATAATGTTACAGGGATTACCTCCCATGAACAAGTCTTCATATTATCAAATCTGACCTGAGAGAGAAAGTCATCCATGCAAAACATTGACTTATGATAAAAACAACAAACAACAAGTAACAAATAATTCCGATATTTTATGATAATAGTAGCCTAAGCTTTTTATAGATATACAATAGAATGTATTCTGATGATAATAAACTATAGAATCTCGGTGATAATGAAGGGCTGATACCTATTTTTATGGTGGTGATCAATTTGCAAGTCTGTTATGAATATTCGCTAATTGCATAGTTAATGGTAATGATCATCCGCCAAAGATTGGCGGTTACATTTAAGTATGACAACCACTTATAAATAGGGTACAGTACAAAATGGAATCGGTAAACCATCGTGGGCCATTTCCAATTTCCACTCGCAACCTTGGAAGATATCATGTAGTCTTATATTGGTGAGTGGCATGCGCTTAGAACTTTTCGTTTAATTCAAGATTGCAAGTAAGGACATCTTGAGCTCACGGAATGTTGGTTATCACGATGGGGAGAGAATGTGGATGTGACCATTGTTTAAACCACAACCTTTAGAGACCATGGTTAATCCAAATAGCTTCATATAAGGCTGTGAAATTTATTCAATTCGTGCATGTTCATATTTACTGTTGATTGGTCGGTTTGTAAATCACGTGACATCGTGAATTTTTATTACCTAGGTCAAGAACAAGAAGGTCAAAATAGGCCTAGGTCATTAATACGGGGCTTTACCTGTTACAGTGAAGCACAGTAGAAATGTGTCAGGTGTTCCGGACGCGTTGAAGAAACAATCCTAGAAGACGATCGTCTTTTTTGCGGCTATTATTCCCCACAGTCCCACCAAACACCTACGCCCTTAATACAATACAAATCCCTATTGAATGTCAAATAATTTGAATCTCATAGAAATGAAATAAAATATTAATCATAGTAAACTATCGTATTGATTGATACATTTTAATACGTTTACTGGCCAATAGAGATTAGATACAACAATAGACGGCCCTCAACTAAACAAACTCGAAAACAATGCAAGTCATTACGTCGTGTAAATAATTACTTTATAGCTCTCAGTCAGTCTGTACATATTTTTCCACTGTCGGTTTATTAGTAACATATTTGTTATTTAAATAAGTACCAATATGAAAGTAACGAAGATTCTAGTAGTATTTGTATTCTGTATTTGTATCAAGTATTCTGAAAGTGCTACAGCTGAAGATGTTGAACGTCTGTTTCAAGATAAACTCAGTAAAAGTAATCCTAACATTCGTCCAGTTTTAAATCAAAGTAAACCAGTGGATATCACAATAGAAGTGTATATTGTGGCTATGACGGATTTGAATGAAATTCAACAGAAAGTTGAGGCAACTGTTTGGCTGTTGGTAAGTCAAGTTATTTTAATGATAATCTGTTCAAATTTCTGCATTCGTCACCAGCACCATTAAACACAAAGATAGAAAGGGGCACCAGCAGCAAGGTGCGGTTACGGGCGCCACGAGGCAGTTGAACCCCTTGACTTGAAACTTAATTGGAGATCCCTGTTCAAAAATCAATCTATTTATATGTATCTACTTGATCAACCTGAATTCAAATTTGTAAAAGAAAGTGTGTGATTTGTCAATAAAGCAGTTTAAACTGGTTTAAGATTTGGTGTTGGTTTTGAAACTTTCAGAATAAGTAGAGACAAATTTCTCTACAATACATTTTGTGTTTACTTTGCTTAAATCCGTACCAAAAACATAGCTATTTTTAAAGATTTTCGTAACATAACCATTCTTTGACACTTAAAAAAGGATAATACTTCGAAAACCGGTTCGTTTCAATTGCGTAAGTTTTTGTTTTACTTGTTATAATTTTTCACATCATTTTTATCGTTATTTATCACCTAAATATATATTTTTGCATTTTTCATCATAACTTTCATCTTTCTTTATATATCCCCAAACCCAGTTTGACTTATTTGCATAATTTGATCCCCACATTTTCACGCTAGCATATACAGTTTCCTCCTGTTACATCTGCTGTACATTCCCTTTCTAACCTCAAGTTATTTTCATTATGCTCCCCAACTCCCCAACCACTGGCAAGAAGCCAGACATAGAAACACTAATCGTCAACCAAACCAACATCACGTACCCTACAATGGCCCTGTCTTCCATCACCCTCTACCACCTACCAATCACCGACCACCAACCAACCCATCCAGTTACATCCCAACCCATCGCCGACCTACCTACAACACAGCCTACCAATCCAGAGGTAACCACCGACCTGACCAACAACAGAAACGACTTCCAGCCCACTAACGCCAACCAGTCCCCACTCATAAGGAGGAAGAACCCTTTGTGAAGATGCTCTTCCAAGTTTTGCACTGCCTCCATCATTTGACAATCCTTGCCCTTCAACAGCAAGGTCAACCAGCGTTTTCCTTCGGACATGGCTCTCTAAGGTTACGCAGTTCCTGATCGACCATTACCAAACCACACTTCAAGAGAAGCTGACCACCATTCGTACCAAGTCTTTATCATCACCTGCCATCGACCGCAGCGTTTCTCATGCCTATCCTGGGCCCGTCGCTCCTATGGGAAACGTCTCACTCAAGCTGTTATCACCAAATTCTACCAGACAATCAACGAAACCAAAACCAGAGTAACCATATCTCTATCAACTGAAATCGACTCTACACCTGCACCACGAGTCACCACGTTACCTAACCAAACCCCTAAACGAGCCCGAAGTTCACCTACTCCTAGTCCAGCAGACATAGGTAAACGCTCTCATAGAGAGGGCACTCCCCTTCTCTTCTCACTTTCAGACTCGTCTTCCCCTTCATAATAATAATAATAATAATAATATAATAAATAAACATTTGTAGAGCGCCTGGGACATGCTCAAAGCGCTTAGGATCAGCATGTACAATTATTATGAGTTATACAACAAGTTGAAATAGATGAGTCTTTAATCTAGATTTGAAAGTTTGTAATGATGGTGATATTTTAAGTTCGTAAGGGAGACGATTCCATAATATAGCAGATAAGTATTGAAAGGATCGACCACCGATGGTTTTCAAATTAAAAATTGGAACATCGAGTCGGCATTGATCTTGAGATCGCAAACATCTTGGTGGTACATAAGCTGATACGAGGTTCTGTAGGTATGACGGCGCAGATTTATATAAGGCTTGATATGTTAAAGATAGTACTTCCACGCCATCTGAATCTTCATCGCGTGATCCAGGATCCGCCAACCTTTATTCCATCTGTGCGTTTTTGGACCAGCAAACGACCCCTCAGTCTCCATCCAAATCGAACCAGATCCAAGTCCGTACCCAATGCTACAATTATAACAGCTACCAAACCAGTACCAATCACTACGTCGACAACCATTATATCCGCTACCAAACCAAGGACAACTCATTGTGGAATCTACCTGCTGTGAAGAAATCTACCTTAATTATTGGATCATCTAACCTGAAACGAATTACCAAACCAGTTCAGACAATTCTTACCCTGGTGCCCAAATCCATCACATACAGTCAATCCTGGAATCATACGACCATGATCCCAAACCTACAACCGTTATTCTTCATGTAGGCCACAACAACCGTGATCAGCAACCAAAGACCTCCTTTAACCAAGCCCAGAAATAAATCGCTACAGCCAACAAAACCTTCCCAAACTCCAAGATCCTCTTCACATGTTTACCCATCTCAAATAAAATCTCGAAGAAAGCACAACAGAACCTCAGCACTTTCAACAACATAATGATGGAGTCCAATATCAACAGCGCAATAATCTTAACACCCTACGAAGAAGAATTCGAACCAGTTGATAATCCTCATTTGTCTCCAGAAACAGCAAACAGTATTTATTTGTTTTGGATACACCAGCTTCAAGCATCGAGTAAGTCTTTAAACTAATTACTGGGGATAAAAATACTGAGAGGCCACCGCTGGGCCAAACTGTAGTTAACTTGAGCCGCAAAATTCTCTCACCCCTTCAGCATTCAATCTTAGACCGTGGACTTAAGTTTATTCCGACACAGAAGATAGCCAACTTAAATTATCTTCAACGAAATCTTAGCTGCACATATTTTTTTCAGAAACTCATTATTTTGCAACTCTACGAATAAAAGGTACCCGATCCAGGAACATCTAACATGTGAACATTCGAATGTAACATATTTAATTTCATGCAAGAAATGCCCCAAACAATATGTAGGTGAAACTAAGAATAATTTACGAACTCGTTTTAATGCTCATAGGTCGGATATCAAATTAAAGAAAGACAAGTCTGTTTCTAATCATTTCAACCTCGACAACCATTTAATAGACGATCTCAACCTAATCCCAATTGAGCGCATAGAAATTGACTTGCCCGAAGATGAAACTACCAAATTCCGTCAATCTAGGGAAGCCCATTGGATTGAGACGTTGAATACAGCAAGACCTATAGGACTAAATATTCACCATAATGTAGGCATAGCACCCTTTGTTATCCCGTTCAATACAACCAGCAATCGAGCAAGCAAGATAGTTAATGCCCACTATAAAAGCCTTCAAGAGAAATTCCCCCATGTCTATAAGCAGAAAATGATAATTGCATATTCAAAAAATAAGAACTTAAATGATAATATTGTTCATAGTAAACTAAAAACAATCAGTATACATAACAGATACTATACTTCTCGCCCATTGGGCGAGTTATTCTTTCTGATTTCAGATCAGAATTAGAACAGAAGAAAACCCAATATCAAAACCCTTAATCCTATAATTTCTAAATAAAGTGTCTGCTCCACCCTAGGCCCGTACATTTGGGAGATTCAAACCCTCCCTTCCCCGATATCTATATTTTTATTACTATTTATTTTATTAAATAATAAGCACTTTCCCAACTCATTTGAACAATCAGATTGCCCCTTTATTTCAATTTGTTTAGTAGAGACAAGGATGTGGCTAAAACTCTTTCTGACACAGTCTTTCACCATGTTATTCGAATTTATCAGAATTCAAAATACTACATCCCCTTGAATATCAATCAAACCGATCAATTAATATTGAGTGGTTTTATTTTCAGTCAATATACAATAATTAATAGCAAATATACTTCCATCACGTTTTCTTATTACTGGGTACTATTTTATGTCTAATATTAGCTTTTTGTTTACGTCTGTGTACAATTAATGGAATTTTCTATGATAGATACTGTTTGTCTTAATGACTTCACTAAAACGATTGTGATATATAGTGACACATTTATATATTCAATGCCTGAATACTTTGTTGTGATAATCGTTAATTTCGATTATTTCATGTAAATCAAACATAACAGTTACCTTTGCAGATTAATTATGGACATGTGAGGCAAACTGTATTTAACTACAAATGTACCTATCACAAAACTTTTTTTCTCCCAGAAACGCTTAGATGACATTTTTCATTTCAGGTCAAATGGAAAAATGAGCTGTTAACATGGAATGCAACTGAATATGGAGATTTAGAAGTTGTTGAACCCGCTCCAGAAACAACATGGCGACCCAATATTGCCCTCTCCAATGGTTATAATGAATTGAATCCAATTGGCCTGGATTTTGTACTGTTGAGTTTATACCACGATGGCACCAGTGTCTGGATACCTGGTCAGAAAGTTGAGTTCCTGTGTAAAATTGATGTCACCAAGTTTCCGTTTGACAAGCAAAATTGTTTCATGGATTTTATTGACTGGAGAGCAATAAGTGAAAGTTCAACTTTGACACCGTCCGTAAACCATGCTTATGACACTGATGTCCACCATGCCAATTCTGAATGGGAAATAACTGGTGAGCTACTTCCATTCTCACCACAGAAAAGTAACGTTGTGCTTAGTAATCAAGGTCGAATGCTGCTTGCATTTGTGGTCATCGATTTGAAGATTCAGAGCATTATTTGATCTATTGCCCACTACATTTAGATGCACGAAACCGCCCTATTTCTCTCCTTCCGTCGTCTTTCTACTGATATTTTCCGTACAGTCCAAACCTTCTTGGAACTTTCAAAAAGATTCTGATGAGCCTTCCAAATTTCGTGCAAATTCTTTCCAAGTTCTTTCTCAATATATCACCTTTTTGAAAAGAAAATTTATTATCATTACAAGCATAAATCCCGTGTAGCAAGTTGTACATAATGTAAATATGTTTGTATTATAAGTTTCTATCTTTTTCAAATTTAACATATAATTTATATATAAGTTACATATAAACGATCGGAGAGGGCTAATATAGGCCCAGCCTGTTCCCGAATCCTTTTCATAAGGTCGAAAATTTTGATAGTTTTATCTTCTCCCATGTCAGTTTTCTAATTTCCACTATTGTCCAGTATACTTAAGTAATAAGCTGTTACCCTGTGGCGGATATATCAATACAACGCTGCGCTAACGCGCATTTATTCAATTCTCCAGCCAACCTTTGTCTTTTCTTTGTTTTGTATTGTCTAGATATACGACCATAACCGCCATAGGGTAACAGTTTATAGCTTATATTTACGTTTTCAAGACATTCCAATTTTGAAGAAGATGGAACATATTTTACAATATTTTCGCATTGATAAGCTCCGACCAAGGTTCACGATATGGGAGCCAAATGAGATAAAAATTTGGTTTTGAAATCTGACTCATTTAGCTATAACATTATCTACCACCAACACTGACTAATTCTAATCATCTCACATTGATTTTGACCAGAAGAAACTTGATGAAAGTTTTCCAGATAACCACAATGCAGATAATAGTTGATTTTCTGCGTATGTTTTATCCAATATTACACCTCAATATCTCAATTGATTATCATATTTGTGTTTCAAAATCAGAACAGTTATTCAACCTTGATTGTAACCTCTGTGGTTATATTAAAAATATTAACCATCATCCTTATTTTCATTTCAGAAAGGAAATACGAGAAAATACACCAAGTTGGTCACGACACAGTTCGAGTTCGCTTCACCATGCAGAGAAAGTCTATTAGTCTAATACTTACAGTCCTGTTACCTGTCTTCTTACTTGCATTTCTCAACGTCTTTGTGTTCCTTCTGCCCACCGAATCAGGCGAAAAACTGTCCTTTGCCGTAACGGTTCTGCTTTCCCAAGCCGTGTTTCTCAGCTTCATTTCTTCAATGATGCCCCAAACCTCCGACTCCATCTCCGGCTTGTCAATTTACATCGCAGCGCAACTGGTTTTGAGCACCCTTTACGTTCTTATATCTTGTTGGATTCTCCGCCTGTATCATCGCGATACTAAACGGAGACCACTTCCGTCTTGGTTCTTGAAGGTGGTATGTTTTAACATGAGAAATGTCGTCAAACCCTTCGGTGATCAGGATGAGAAAACGACGGAAGCGTTCGTTGACTGTGTCGCTACTGGTCGTGAAGTCAGTCAGAGAATTGATAAGGTTTGCTTCTGGCTTTTCTTTGTGGTGGTGGCGTTTATGACAGCCTTGTATGTATTCGAAGGGTTGAAAGTGTGAACTAAACTCTAATAGTAGCCTAGACTACCATTACCAATACACAAACTCACTCCCAGTTTCTAATTTAAACACTCACTTAAAAATGAAAAAAAAAACATTATTGACTCGCAGATGTCATATTAGGGAGAAGAAAACGACACATTCAATATACAAAGGACTTTTGCCTAAATTAAGTGCATGTTCAATCTTGCTGCCCCTTTTTCTGTTATACAAGAGCTGTTCTTTTGCCGAATGCGTTACGTTTTCTTTGAACTTACTTGTCCATGTTACGTTTTCATTGAACTTACTTGTCTGCGAAAGAACAGTACAGGCCCAAGTCCTATGCATTTAATTTGAAAGATTTTTTACTTTGATTCAGCTACATATATGCGATTTATTGATAGTTGATAAGAACTTTATATCAAACTTATCGGCCTGGGCGACTCAAAACCAGACTTTATAGATTTATTATTCAAAAAATGTTTTATAAACGGAAAACGATATCTCATTATAACTTCGAAATGTTAAGTCTTGTTTTTAATTTTGAGAATAAAAAAAAATTGTAGACAGAATTTGGTCCAAGGGTAATGACAAGTCCAATGGTAAATATGAGTGAAGGCATTTTAGAAACTAAATGCGGGATTGGGCTCCCGATTCACTCAATTCATATTACGTGGTCTCGTATAGATTCCTTACATACTTGGCAATACCATACATAATCAACACCGGATGTCAAGATAAAACATAGTACTTGTGGTGTTTGATCTCATGAAATTTAACGGGACTGTCCATGAATGCTAACAGTCAGATCGTGTAAACACAAGTGTAAACACGATGATCATTTCAATAAGGGTTCTTGTGTGGCCATGCCGATTGAACTATTCAATGTGATGGTTCAATTTATTTGGTGCTCTGTGTAACAAAAACAACAATGCCAACTTGAGGCAAACATTTTATTATTTCCAGCATGTTAACGTCACAAAATCGTGTGAGCAGATCTGCTCAGGTCAGCTTCAGCTCTCATTTATTAAATTTGTAAAACTTTATAATAGAAAGTAAAAAAAATATATCTGTTTTTCCCCAAAACAAAATGGAATATTAAAGAGAATGATAAAATTATACCCATTACATCTTAAAGAGTATGCATGTACTGATTCATCTTCATAATGTCGAGCTATTATGAACTTGGTAGGCTACTTATATCTTGACTACAATAGACGCCTTTCTGGTATCAAGGGGAGGGGACCTATGGGCATGGTTCAACTAGTCGATGTGGCATTGCAGAGGTTCGACAGAAAGTCATAATGTTTTCAGCGATTCTGTTTAGAGCTATGATTGGCTGTATTCGCTGACGTACAATCCAATCAAATCGCTGCATTTCGTGATACAAGAATAGTGTATATTATAGCAGTTAAAGTATGAGTAAAAGTCCTTAATATCTTGACATTGTAAAGATGGTATTGATTGTGGTCATATTTCTATGGGAACTACATGCATTAGAATTATTCAATGGTTCTTTAACGTTAATTTGGATCATAAGCTTACAATGACGCAGTGTGATTTTCCTTTATTTCAGTGATGATGCCATAGAAATGATCATTAATAATTAACACATCTATTTTTTGATGTTTTAACTTGCAATTTGTTTTATAGTAAATCTTTGCTAGGTGATTTTAAGCCAGGGCGATCATAAGACTAAGATCAAATAAAGTTGTAAAAAATTATAAAAAAAAACCTTATCCCCATTTGCTTATGTATCGTATCGTGACATGACTGGTGATTCCATGCACTACATGTGTTTGTATATAGTAGTGCGAAGAGCACCAGGAGGCAAATGTAACCCATTCCTTTATTTCGCGCGCACTTCTTAAATCCGCTTTATTTTACTGGATCTAAAGCAGTTTTGAACAGTAGTACAAGGCATGGCTCTGGTTATTATTTTAAAAAATATTGTACAGTAAAGAACTGTATTTTATGATGTTAAAATATGTTTAGCCTCTACGGAAACGATTCCGTTTTAAAATTATTTGCCCTTTCTTAATAATGATGACGTTCTGTCCAGCTACGCGCTCTGCTATCATGATCGATGGATATGATGTTGGGGTAAGCTTATAATTGATACATACGCCATATCACTTATAAAAGCAATCATGACTCAATGATACATAAAATATTTAAACAACAGCAAATATTTATCAGTAATTATTGTATTGATCACTCTGATACTCCAAGTAAAAATCAATTTCAGGAGGAGAAAAGAAAAATAAACATAATATAATTATACGGTTATTTATAACAGAAAACAAAATTTAATTCGTGTGTAATAGATGTTTATTTTTCACTTCTAGTAGCCAAAGTGGTTCTTTATCAGAACATTAATGTTTTTTTCTGTTAACAGGCGTCCTGTTAACCATTCCACACAAACATATTAAGTGGAAAAAATGTTCGACTTTTCATGATAAAGGCACCATAAAGGCTTCGGGAGCCAGTCTAATATAAATTAAAAGTGAAGTAGACGAGCGGACATAAAAGACAAAAACGCACGACGATCAAGACAAGCTCATAACAATTCAATATAAACCGTTTGGAAGGAATCCAGAGTTGAAAAACGAAAGTTTTGACTGATAGATGAAATTTGTATTGTAAAAGACAAGTTCATACCAATTTTATATGCGCCGTTTTGAAGGAAGTCAAAGTTCAAAATCTAAAACAACAACCTGTTACTTAATTTTGTTCTAAAAATTGAAGTTTTTATAGAAATCTTATTTCTAATGGAAATGTGCCGTTTCGGAGGAGGCAAGAGTTAAAAAAAAACAACTGAACACAATTATTGGATTACAATAACATCGGAAAAAAAGTTACTAAAATTGAGAACGAGATGAAAGGAGCATTGCTATTGATATTGGTCCTGTTTATTTGTATCAAGTATTCTGAAAGTGCTACAGCTGAAGATGTTGAACGTCTGTTTCAAGATAAACTCAGTAAAAGTAATCCTAAAATTCGTCCAGTCTGGAATCAAAGTAGAGCTGTGAACATTTCATTTGAAATATATATTGTGGCTATGACAGATTTGAATGAAATACAGCAGAAAGTTGAAGCAACTGTTTGGCTGTCGGTAAGTAAACTATTCCGAAACCTTCTTAACATCGTCTGTCGATATCGCTTTACGTAACTTCTAATGCTTATCACAATCTGTCCAAAGTTGAAGATAAAAATTAAAAAAAATGTTTTAACATAGTCGAAGTAAGGATAAGTATGAAAGCCATGACGAGTATTGTAGACATAAGATATGACAAAACATTCTGTACGGCAAAGTCGTCTTATTAATTGCCGATTTTGGAAGGAAGTGTGCTTACTAATGTCGATCTAAAATTAATTTTTGTCAGTTGAATCAATTTCAGTGTGCCGAAAACGTCCATTGCTTAAAATAATATAATATCCCCTGGCGTTAAAATTCAAGAACCGTCGTGGGTGTATGCTACCACGCCTATATCACCATTATATTGTGCAAATATTTCATAAATTAAAGTAGAAATATTAAAATATAACCTGAAATTTATCTCTAAAGCGCTCTACAATCGATGCATTGAGCATTATTTTTACAATGATATTGTTATAATATAATATACAAATTCAATCGAGAATTCATGTTTGATTTTGGTTTCTAGTTAATGGACCTTAGTAATAGTTGTATTATTCTATTATTGTGAACCTTATCTAAATCTATTATTCCCAATATGTAGTCACGATTAAAACCTAACAATATCAAAAATAAAACATTAAAGCTTTCCACTAGCAATTCCCAAAGGGCATCATGTGAGCATACAATCTGAATTACTAGTATATTTTCGAAGCACAAGTAGGTTTCAACTTTGGAAGAGGAAAGGCTTGGGCTACTTATACACATATTCTGGTGCCAACCCCGACCGAAAGATAATTTAGATGTCTAATACAATTATTTTAGCCTCTTCAGCCCAGGGCCCCATCGTGTCCTATGGGAAACTGGGAACAGAAGAGCATACATATTCATGGATGCTTCCACGTTATTAAAAATAGGTGTATATCTACCAGAGTTAATCAATGTCTTACCGAGGCATCGTTTGGAAAACATATTAATATTCATAAGAAAATGTATCTTAGAATTAAAGTCAATGATTTCACAGAATGAGGCTTCTGGCCCAAAGTAGAATTTTGATGAAATGGTTTGGCCTGTAAATTTGTAAATTAGTTGGTTCTCGGACAGCAAACGACAACATGATTAAGAGGCACTGATAATTTTCGGACAATATGAAAGAACAAGATTGGGCACATATCCTTTGCACTCCTTAAAAGATAATGACTACCGAGAGTCACGTTGTAAGCTGGTAAAACACAAAACTTTTAATTTGGTATTTACCAATAGCTTTATAATTTTCGTGATTTTAGGTACAATGGCAGAATGAATTGATAATGTGGAACAAAACAGATTATGGGGATTTAGAAGTTGTCTACCCTAATCCCGATACCATGTGGCGACCAGACCTGGCTATCTCTAACGGCTACGATGAGCTCAATCCAATTGGTATCGACTTTGTTATAATGAAGGTATTCCATGATGGCTCCACCATCTGGATGCCAGGCCAGAAGATCGAGTTCCTGTGTAGTATTGACGTCAGCAAGTTTCCGTTTGATACCCAACACTGTTTTATTGAATTCTTTAATTGGGGTGGCACTCTTGAGGAGTCTACTCTGTATCACTCTTCAGTACCACAGATGACCTCTGTGAAAGCCTTACATCCTAATTCTGAGTGGGAGATTATTGGTGAGTTACTCTCTTGATTGCATCCTTTAACACTATTCCGAATATGAATTCGCCTTGTCGATGGTCAACAATTAAATCAATAAATTATAACAGAAGTAATTACAATGTCTTCAATCACTACAGACTGAATTGCATTGTACGTCAGTCTTTTTCAGCCATACAAGATACAAAAAATATATAATTAAAAAAAAGACGTAAAACGTATTTAATTTCATTTAATTTCAGATAGGTGGTATGAGAATAAAGATGACAAGACTAATCACGATAAGGTTAGAGTTCACCTGACGATGAAAAGAAAATCCACCAGTTTGGTACTCAGCATCTTGCTACCCGTGATCTTACTTGCATTCTTGAACGTCTTTGTGTTCCTTCTGCCTACCGAATCAGGTGAAAAACTCTCCTTTGCCGTAACGGTTCTGCTTTCCCAAGCCGTGTTTCTCAGCTTCATTTCTTCAATGATGCCCCAAACATCCGACTCCATCTCCGGATTGTCAATTTACATCGCAACACAGCTGGTTTTGAGCACCCTTTATGTTCTTCTTACTTGCTGGATTCTCCGTCTGTATCACCGCGATACTAAACGAAGGCCACTTCCGTCTTGGTTCCTGAAAGCAATTTGCTTAAATACGAACAATTCCGTCCAACCCTTTACAGATGGGGCTGACAAAAAGAATGCGTTCAATGACTGGACTGCTAGTGGTAATGAAGTCAGTCATAGAGTCGACCGAGTATGCTTCTTGGTGTTTTTTCTGATCGTGACATTCATGACAACAACCTTCATTTTCAACAGTCTCTGTATGTAGAATTTGTTTTTCAATCGAGAGGCCTTTGTCAGTGAACAGAGTTCGTTGTGATGAACATCACAAAATTTCAGATACACCTTCCTAATGCAACCCTAGACCGACTAATCGACTCTAAATTTTAGTGACAGACCACCAAGTAGATAAATATCATGCATTTTTGTAATACTTGATTTAGACCTTTGAAAACAGTTTATTTTGTAAAGTATGAGATAATAATGGTATATGATGTAGCTCACCACGACCTGACATTATTTACAAATTAGATAACTGTCCATTAGCCGAATTTTCAAACTTCGACGCCGTCTTTATAAAATTTGTTGACACAATGAAATTCATGACTTTTGATTGGCTCAAATTTTCAATGCAGTAAGTCATATATGGCGACCATCTTCTAAATAGCTCCACGCTTGAATATTTTAATTTAGATTAGAGAAAACAATTAGTGCTTTATTCTGTCGAAAAAAATAAGATGGTATGGAGTTGACCTCAAGAAAGTTGTTTCTGGGGCTCAAATTGGTTGCGATATTTCAAGATTTATTCATGGATGATCTTCTGACTCTCTGCCGACGGCATTGAAAGACAGGATGTTTCGATCTATCCATATGACATCGTATTATGCGACGAATTTTAACAAATCAAAATGCCTCTTTAAACGAAATGCTCATAATGTAATTAGCGAGTTTAGCACACCACTGTACCAATCACTTATCAAAATCTTATCATTGTACAATAATATAATACTGATTGAACTTTTCTCAGGGAAGAATAACCCCACCTCATAATTTTTTAGGCCCATGCCGAAGAAGACATCCCCCAAGGACCCAAATTCACGCAATTAAATTAAACCATATTAATGTTGTTCTATTAAAGTGTTTAAGATGATATTGTTGTTATATATATACTGGCGGTATCTGGGAGAATTTAGTCAATCGTTGGAGTTGGGTTTATCTTAATTTTTAAAGGTCATTGCAACTCATCTTTCAGTTAATCTGCGGATTAATTCTATTAACTGTGTTTTGAAAAACAATACAAAAATCGAAATAAGGGGTGCAACTCGTGCTGCGAAGATCAGTGAGCTCGACTTTCTACTTACTATGTTGAACTTCGGCATTCTCGATTTATTTTGTTGTTTCTTTCAACTTGTCCCTCATTCCATTTTAAGCTTCACACTGTTAGTGTAGCGATAAGCGAATACAACAGAGGCCCAGAAAACTCATGGCGTTGGTCCTGAAGATACAAAAGGTAAAACAAAACGCAATTTGCAGGTGGAAGTGACCGGACTAACGATCATGCCCCCAAAACTTTCGAAAGAAAATTGGATTTCTGGCAAAGGGGTGCAACTCGTACCTACACATTTTGTCAATTGAGCTGGCTACCAGAGAGCAAGAATTTCTATGTCCAGAAAGCGTAGACCTTCTTCACGGATAGAGATATTATAAAAAAAATAAAAATAAAAGTGAGTACATAACATCCAATAAAATATGTGAAAATAACTCCACTTGAAATACCATATTTAACGCATGATTAGATATAAATATTTAGTATTGCCAGGGATAGTAAGCGTTTTTTTATTTTATTATTAGTCATTTTTGAATTTTCAGTTGTCTTATTTTAAACTCATATAATCACTCAATGACTTGTTTTGACCACATTTAAGTTACTTTCGATGGGATATCATTTAACTGAAAATAATGGACCGGGTGAGGGGTGTACTCTATTCTTTACGTTAACCTACCCCATGTCGTAATTTATAAATTTTCAATTCTTTGTATGATTAAGAAAAATAATTTGTGATAAAAGTAGGATCACAGAAGGATTGGGTAGCGTATAATTATACTTCTTGATAATGATGAAAATAAAATGATGTGATGTAGGGGTATATATACCATTGAGCAACCAACACCTGTAAGCATTACTAAATTTAATTTTTCTTTTAATTCAAAGATTTGTGAATTTATAGAACTTTAGCACTTTCTATATTGGAGATCAAGGGCGATAATCCTTTCTTATTTTTAAAGCAGTACATTTTGACTTCAACCTCCATTTTAGTATCATATACACATGCAAACATCGATTAAAAACTTTCAACCATACAATGTTTACGAGATATATGGAATGAAGACACTGTATTGGTGTAGAACGGTTGAATTCAAGAATACAAATTTTATTTTCAATTCATACGATACATCTTTTCTGTTTTACAGGAAAATGTCAAGTTTTTGCAGCGTTTCTTTGAGAATGAAGCAATCCTGTGTTCCCTTCTAATCTGCAAGTTCCGCTAATCTACCTGTAGTTTTAAAATATTCCTGATATTCCAACAGCGAAGATGATAGCAGATAGAATTGTCATCATAACACATACATTGAAGCAGATCTTATCAAATCGACGACTGATGTATTGATAAACGTTAACCTTCCCCTCCTCCTTTGGCGCCAAACATCTGTAGAATCTGCCCATTCTGTCGTCTGGTTCAACTCGGTGGTAAATAGACAGGCTGATGCAAGAGAAGACGACAATTAAAGAGCTGATAATCAACTGAACCGAGATATACACTGAGAGATAGGAAATACTCTCAGACGTCTGCGGCATCATAGAATTGATGTAACTCAGGAACACAGCTAAGGACAACAAGATGGTGACACCAAAAGACAACTTCTCCCCACTCTCTGCTGGGATCACGAAAGTGAAGATGTTCAGGAAAGCTAGTAGAAGTACTGGAAGCAGCACTGTCAATACGACAACAGAGGCACGTCTCTTTATGCTGATGGTGATTGCCGCATGAGGTTTTAAGATCGATCCATTACTGTAAGACCGAACGTAATCTCGAACGCTAAAGCCAATCAGATCCCATTCGCCATTTGCTGTGTAGGAATCCAGTACCATTCCTTCATCAAAGGTTGAGAGGGCCAGCTCGCCATAAACTGTTCCCCAGTTGAAGAAATCAAACTCACAATATTGAGTATCGAACGGGTACAATTCAATATCCACTTTGCAAAATGTTTCCATCTTAGAACTAGGGGACCAAATAACCTTTCCACTACTCTCTGCTATCAGCATCACAAATTCATTGCCTATCGTTCGAGTCCCGGAAAAGCTGTTACTGTATGCCAAATTGGGTCTCCATACATCATCAGGGTGTGGATAAATCTTCGTGACTCCACCATAATCAGTTTCATTCCAGGAAATTTGCTCATCATGCCAATACACCTCCAACCACATCGTTACCGAGATCTTCTGAATCAGCTCATCAAAGTCAATGATAGCCCCGATATGGACCTTAAATTTCACTTCCACAACATGAGACTGATTTTTCACTGGCAATATCATTGGATTTATCGGGAAGATCTTGTCTTCGTAAAGTTTTTCAACTTCTTTAGAACTTGCAGCCGAGCAATACGGTATCAGCAACCAAAACAATATAAGCAAATAAGAATACATTGTGAAACGCACCAAGTTAAAAGAAATCATTACTCGTCACATCCAAAACTGTATAAAATAGGCGCTTTTGGCTTATAGTTCCTGGAAAAACATGACAAACGAGAGCAACACACACAGTGTCCAAGGCAGAATGTGGGAAGCAGGATCTTCAGACAGATAGTCCTGAACATGGAACAACTGCTTTATTCCTTGTAGCTTTTCATGGCATGATACAATTCAATTGTTCTCACATCCAAATCAGTATTAAATAACAGAAATTAACCAATGAGCACCATTGGTATCATTACTGATATTAAAAAATAAAACACATTATCGGTAATGTTTTCAATTCACTTGAATAACACACAATCTAACCAAAACACAACATTAAGATTTTATTTACTTAATATATTGTCATAATTGGTCGTAAAACCAAAAGCTATATTGGCATATCGATTTTTTTTTCACAGAGTTTAAATGTAAGCTGTAATTAGAACAAAGCGTTGTGTAAAAACATTCAGATATACCTTGTGTATGTGCTGCGATATCAGTTCGACGACGTTTGTCCGAGAGGGACTGAAGTGCCTGAAAAACTACAATGCAATGCAATGCACTGCAACCATCCACAGGTGCTTTTTCAAACACCTGGTACCAATCTGCGATCTTGATTGACACATGAGTTTTTCTTCTATTAATTTCTACAAAGCTTATGTTTTTTATGGCGTTTCGTGGCGTAATTTGGCATCCTTTTTTTTAACTTTAATTATGTTATTCGAGATGCTAGTGACGAAGATCCGAAACGTTTTAGCATCCTGTATTGAAATCTAGCGAACAAAAATCAAATGCTATGCATTAATCAAATTTACTCATTAAGTTGCCCTGATAGTAATTGAGTTGTGATTCATACCATTGCTTTACATTATTGAGCCATTACTCTTTTTAATATCTATATGATATACTTCGTTGCTTAACAAATAACATTTTAAAACTCATTCAATAAACTGGTTATCTAATATCAATTGGTGTCAAACCTTTCATTACCTAGATCATCAGTACATGCATTGTCAGACAATTCTAAAGACCCATTAGTCTGTTATACATTCACTCGTGATTAATGACGTATCACGTATGCATTAAGGGTTTTAGGATCTATATATCATACAGTACATATATCAAACTAATATTACTAAAAGCTTGTTATTATTGTTATTAATGATAGAGTGCAAGACAATTAATTTAACAGTAATGGACTCCAAAATTAGTATTTATAACTTCCTTGTATTGTGAGTTATGGGCGTGTGATGTTTACGAAACCACAATGTAGAATGAACAAATATTGTAGGGTTTTGTCAATAATAATTGAATAATAGGATGATAATTCGAAATTGTGTGGTCGGCCGTTGTTTTGTGATGTCAGTAAAGCCTCTGTAGAAAAAACGTGGGATGATTCTTATCTGAGATAATTTACTGTTTACCTGCTTATAGCTCACCTACCGAATGGCATAGTCTGTGGGCAACTGGATATTAAACAATTGCTAGCAATCTTATTACTGGAGTTAATTGATGTAGCTAAGCACACTGATGATTGAGAAGACACAAAAGGGGGGTGGCAGAGGGGCTACCCGCCCCCCTCGCAGCCCCGAAGGCATGTTTTTCGGGCAAAAATATCAAAACTAGGTTACAAATTCGGCCAACCTGAGGTATTTCGCCCCCGTCGGAAGTAAACCTGGTTCCGCTTTCTAGCTCAGTCTCTATAGAATCTAGCCTGAGCAAGATGATTAAGTACTGCTGGCTTCTATCACCTGCATGACATTTATACATAGATAACACTAAGATAAGTTTAACGTCAAATTACTTTCTATCTCATTGATCTAATAAAGAAATGTGTAAAACTCTTTGAATTAAAATATTTATTTGTTACAAAAATTATGATATTACTAATAAGTAATAACATACAATATAATACAAAAAAAATATCATACAAATCTAATGTACAAAAAATCATTCATTATGCTGAATTTTAGATTTAAACAAAATATCATAATACAGCTCTAAATATTTCTTTTCCCATTACTTCTGTTAGTGGTCAATTTTAAACTATAACTAAATCTTATTTTCAAATGTATGTGATTACCATCTACTGGTCGATCACTTTCAGTTTAATCATATATTGAAAAATATATTCATACTCATTCAATTGGTTCTACTAATATTAGTAATGTAAATTTTCGCGCCAAATCACACTTCCTGTCAGAAGCAGAACATTACTAGATTGCCCCACAAGAATCCTTAAATTGTCTCATCACATCTTACTAACCGAGCAACTGAAAATAACGTCAATATGGAGCTAAAAATAGCAATATTGTAATGTAAATTTCGTGCCATCGTTTACTTTCGATTTGTTGGTTGGAATTTAAGAACGACTCTTTCTCAGAGGCAAACAACAATCTTGAACCTTTAAGGTCGTAATAAACCGAAAATGTAATGGTAGATCAACCATCTCGACAAGGTCTTAAGAGGCCATAAACTAGCAAAATACATCAGCATAGCTGTTGAAACCACTTTGGGGGAAATTTACAAGTCCAAAAGTAATGTAATGACTTTGTTATTGTTCATGAAAAAAATACTACTAAATCCCCATTGGAATTGGGTTGTGTCTGATATAATTACTTTGTTATTAAGGTTGTGTCTAGTGCACTCGGCAATGACTTTGTAATGAAATACATTTGAATATCTCCTTTCATAGAGTTAATTATATCGGGCTCAAGGCTCTCAGCTTGGCATAATGCATAGATATAAACTACTTTGCAATACAATAGTGTATCATTCTATGGTTTTTGATAATTAGTCGTTGAATATGTTATTCAATACTTCAAGAAAGAAAAGCATTTCATGGTTTGGCTTATAAATCTAACTATATTAAAAGAGTCGCTAATGGAAAATGAATTGTGCGCAAATTCCACTAAATCCAATGAGACCAACAATTAACTTGGCTTGACATCAAATTTTATGATTTTAAATTCTAAATTGACTTTTTAACTTGTGTGAATTCCGTGTTTGACATTAAACAGAACTTCTTTGTGGATATCAAATCAACGAGGCATAAGTAGCATCCCCTTCGAATTCGGATGTGTCGTTTTATCCTCTTTTTTTGGCCTTGTTGTCTTTGCGAGTGACATTCGTTTTTGATTTATGTTACCTTATAGATTAGGTTTTTAATATATATGACTCTAAACTAACTACAGAATAAGAATATAACTTATCGATATACATCGTATGTTAAACAAACTGATAACATATTATATCAAAATTGTGATCGTCTCCTTTTAATCCCTTGCATAATCAGGATATTGTTACTTAGTAACAGTATCATAATATAATCATATCCAATAGGACTTTTAGTACTCTAATAATACTTGCTCTACAAATTAATCTTGGAACACGTTTTATAAATACCGATCAAATCAAAAGGCGCGTATTTCAGATCATTTATATAGTGATAATCATGAACAATCTTCTTTCACTATGTTGTTCAACTTAACACATGGTTTTGTGGAGTCACCTCCAAATATTTTTGGTAACCATTATTAATTAAGTCGTTTATAAAAACTCACAGATGAATAACTGATATATCTTTTAATTCTAATTCTGTTTCCTTTTCTGAAATAAAATGTGATTGCTAAAAATACATTTAAAGTCGTCTTGCAAATGATTTTGAAGGTAGGTATTTGAATTTTGATACCATTACCTTTAGACCTTATACCGATATGGTCATTGGTCACAATGGTCATAGATAATCATCGGATTTCTTAGATTTGTCAAATTTTGGTAAATTGTATTATACCAGATGTATGACGTCTTACCTTTTTCTTTAAAACTCAATTTTTGTGAAGCTATATCAATATTTGAAAAAATCTGGAATTCTTCTATTGCTGCTTTATCAAAGTCACGGGAAACCTTAGGCTGAAAAGTGTAAGAGGAGAATAATAATAAGAATTTATAACGATGACGAGAGAGCGAAACACAAAGAGGCTCTATTGGATTTCGCTATAACCACATCTCGTCAACGTTATCAAGAAACGAGTCCTACGAGTCTTTCTTGACACGCCAATAATAGAACAGGACTGCGATAGAAGATGATATGAAATTGTATGAACAAAAGGAACGAAATTGATCAGCTTTATAGACATACTTAGTACATGAATACCTTTAATATGTATTTATGGTTTGGTTGCGAGGTAGAAATCTATATCGCTCTTTCATGTATTGAGCACTATTTTAACATCTACGTTCGATTTTTTGAGCACTGTTGATATGTTTTGTGATCAGAGCTATCATGGTATGACAGTAAAGCAGGGGCGTCTTGATTTTGTGGAGACCAGTTTAAAATATATTAGCACAAGGTTCCTCAAGTAAATAAGCTGAAGTGCCACTTTCATTGTTTGGGATTGCTAAAGCGCCCAACCTCATCCCCACAAGCTAAATGGTTTTGGTTTTGAATAACTCTAGATTCAAGTTGAACAGTTTTTAGTTTATTTTTACTACAGAAAATACATAAATACAGAAACTTGGACCACTAATTAAAAACATACAAAAGTATTGGCGCCGAACCTTATTAATAAATGTGATGCAACATGCTCGTTAGGAAAAGGAAAACTTGCGGAAAAAAGCTGGAAGCTATGCTCGTGCTCATACAATGTTGACCGTGAAAAGTCCTTGTTATGGTTGGCGTTCCCTGAAACTCCTGATTCTTAACTCTCCGTACAGGAATATCAATGTGGCGAAAATTGTTTTTTTTTTTAATTCTGTTGCTCTCCATTTTGCATGCGCTCATGCGCCACAAATAGCGCGCGTGCAGCCATTTTGCATGCACTGATGCGCCACAAATAGTGCGCGCCACCAGTTGAGAATTACTGTATTAGCAATTACACCGAGTGATCGTTATATAATTTTAAGACAGATATTTCTAATCAATTCCAACAGTTATTCTCATATCATCATTGTTTCAACAGAATAACTCGATAATGCCAATATGAAATATATTTGAATAGGCTGCGAAAATTGGTTTAATATTTAGATTTAAACAATATGTTTTTTTTTAATATCTTTATTTATTGTTGACATATACTTGAAAAATATCCTTGACCATTTCATAAAAAAGTCGTAATTAATTTTTCAGTGTATGGAATCAATTAAGTCTCATTTTTAATTAAAAAAGCTAATTTAAGTATTTCTTTTATATTAAGTAATTGAGATTGCCAAGGGCAAAAGTAAACAAGTTAGTCTATACCGAGAACAATAGTTGTTGTTGAGCTTCATACTGCAGATAGTACATGGTACATTCAAACCAAACATAACACTAAATTAAAGGGATGCCCCCACTTAGGTCACAGATTATGATTCAACATGTGACTTAAAGCACATCATACAGTTGAACTCGCTATTACAAGCAATGATTGGCGTCTGCAATAACCCCAAAAAGGTTTAGGTATAAAACAGTAGAGAGAAAAACTCAACTTAATTTAAATTCAGAAACATATGATAGTAAAAATGAAATCTATGGAATATGAGACAAGTAGTCATTTTCTAAATAAACATACAGTTAACTTACCTGGACATTACTAATGGCTACTTTCAAGTTAAATCTTTTTAAATCGCTGATTAACTCTCTTAAACTCTGAAATGAAAAAAACAAGTTTTTGTTGGAACACTGTTCAAAACGAATTTCATTCTGCGACACGGATTGTAAACTTACCCTATAACTGGGTTTGGCAAATCAACATCTTATTCAAGTAGCCCTTATAGCTTGTAAGGCTTATTTAGAATAAACGAATAAACGGTATCCCACGATTAGAAAAGGAACTCACCATAACAGCACTATAATCTATACTAGATATATGACGAAAATCAAATATAACAGATCTGTTGTTGGTGCCTGAAACAAAAACATTTTATCTTTATGAATATATCTTCATGTCTTTAAAGAAAACAAACTACCACCGCAACCTTTAAAATCACAATAAATCGAAAAGACCCACTTTTCTAGTTCTTTGCGATACAGCTTTTTACTTGGTCTGTAGAAATAGAGATTTTTGATGGAGCCTAAGCAAAGTTATCAGTTGTAAATATTTTTATGTAGTATTTTTAGGTATGACTTAAAATATACCATTAGTTTCAAATAACTTAATACACACCAGAATGTGCCCTGTCTACAATTTTTTCACTGATATATTCTGCTGAGGGAAATTTCATGCCTTGATCTGGTGTACAAATGATGAAACCATCCTGGGATGTAAACTGAAAAACAATTAGATAATAAGTCATAATAATGTACTGATGTATTGACCTTCTGGGTAAATTTACTTTCTGTAAAAAGTCGGTGGAAATGGTAGCTGACAAGTTAACGTACATTTCCAACAGATGAAAAGGCGATTAAATCAAGAAGCTTTTATGTATGCAAATATATAAAACTTGTTATTACGGTATATGGATAAAATTATATTTAGCTCCATTTGGGGCAAATTCACTTTTCACACTACAGAGTAAGATTAAGTTTAAAACTTACAGCAACCCGTGGTCTGGCCAATGGATATAAAACAGATAATACTGAAATACCAACGCCAACTAATATACCATACTGAAAAAAGAAAAATCTAATTAAAAACGAATTTCCCTTATGAATTTAGAAACATATCTAATTTGGAACAAATTTATTACAGAAAAATATAACAACTACGAAATAAACTACTTCTGAAATATCAAAATAATTAATACTTCATTTACCTCTATGCCAATTCCCAGTGATGACAAAAATGTGATTATGAGAATAGCTAAATCTAATTCTGAAATAGAACAAAACACGGTCTGTGATAAAACAAGTATATCAGTAGTTTGAAAGTTGACGATTTTAATAAAATGGAGCTCTATGAAATATCGCGATATCTAATTCATTGATACAAAACAGTATATAGTTTTACACAAATCTAATATAAGGTATATATTTTATTGTATATGTATGTACATGTAGAATATTCGAGTATTAAGAATTCATTTGATAAGATTAACACTTACTATTGGCCCTCCACAATATAAGTATTATTTTATAATCTATCATCTGTAAGACAGCTGATATGATAACAGCTGCCAATGCAGCGTTTGGTATATAGTAAAATAATGGGGTTAAGACATACAGAGATAACAATACCAAACCACCTGAAAAACACATTTAAACAAGATAGAAATTTAGTGTCGCCATCACTTAAGATAAGCCATTCAGGCGGATAAGACATTTTAGTTCGAGACACTGTCAAAGTGTTCTTGAATACATTATGGGGGAAGTTCCATTGAAACTCTTTATTCCAGACTGCTATTAAAACAGCATACCTGTAACAATCCCTGAGGCTGGAGTACGAACACCACTTTGTGAATTTACCGCAGTTCTGAAAAAGTGGAAAGTTTTGGTGTTATTCAGCATATTAAGTAAAGCCCGATATATGTTTTTCTGCACATGGATACATGCCAATTCATTTCCCAAAGACAGCTTTGGTGATGTCCAATTTCGAAAGGTTTCTTTCATTTTTAAAATTTGCATAGCTGAAATATTATCTAATATTGGTGAAACTTAGAAGAATGCTTTAATTGATTGATAATTACCTGGAGAAACTGCCAGTAACTGGATATGAGGAACAGAAACAACTTATAATATTGGCAACTCCTGAAATAATGGTCGTAATAATACATATAGGTTAAAACGATAGGTTTTACTTCTTATTGTTATATTTCTTTATTTAACGCAATTCAAACATGTCAAATATTCCATAATGTTACTATTATTTATTTCGTTTTGATGTAATTGTACATACCGATTGCAATAAGTTCTTGTGTTGGGTTGATTCTGTAGTTATTCTGGCGAGCTTAAAGAGGAATAAAATGTAACAATAAATAACATTTACGTTTTCCTTTGACTGAGTTAACTTTGTCTATTCACAACTTCGGTTTTTCAATTTTAAATTCATAATTGTTGCACAGAAATTCATTTTACAGGTAAAATTGTTATGAGTGAAATATGAATGTATTTGTATTTTCAAGCGCAATTAAGTTCACGTTATTACATGAATTTCTAAAAACAGCCTCTTTCTTGCATTACAGTAATCATTAGTAATTAATAACAAGTAAAGGGGGGCAACTCACCGAATGCTTTACCAATTGCAATTGTTTCTATTAAACCTAATAATGGTACGATACCAAAACCAGCTCCTATATTCTATCAATAAAAAAAAAAACAATGCGTTATGAGACATTTGCAATAAGGTTACACCAAATCAAACTTCATTATCTGCTTTGTCGAAATACATCGTATAAGGGAGACAGTCGACACTAAATGTTGTTTGGTGAAAGACATCTAAGGCAAAATATCAAGAAAACTTACTGCAAATATTGTGGAAGTAGATTCGGTAACATTACCAACGTTCAGAGTAAAATCTGGAACTCTAAAGGGAGGTAACCCAGCTTTTAATTCTCCTGTTAATGTGAGTTTATCTTTGACACCAAAATGAATTAAAATTGCTGCTACTCCAGCTGATGATATCACTATTACTGCATTCGCTCCTGGAAAAAAACGTAACCATCTATCACATTTTTGTTACGAAGAAATGTATCCCGTTCCCTTATCTATGCTCCCGAAAACTTTGGTAAGAATCACTACCAATCTTATATAAAACCTGTTCTTGATTATTTTGTTCATCTTTTAACAGACTTACATGATTATGGTATTGTTCCAACATACAGTACTTAAATCAGTAGAATCACAATCATCATCATCATCATTGTTATCAGGAAGTGGACTGATAATGATAATGATTGAAGAAATTAAATAAAGTTGTGTTCAATTAAAGATATGGGCGCTTAGAATCTTTGATGTACCGTTGACATATAGGTAATTTTATTTATAACGTACCTGTTGCAAAAAGCCAAATAAACTTTCGCCATATTTTAATATATAACTTTAATTCTTCTGGTCGCAATTCTTTCCATTTGATAGTCCGTAATTTCTACAAATTAATACATTGTAAAACTCTTAAACATAAATATTAAAGTTTCAGAAAAGAAAACTTACAATCTTTAAGAATATTATGGTCAAAGGTTACAATCAGCCAATAATGGGGTGATATTTTTCTGAAACATCTTTGGCTATGTAGATAGGGACATTTCGACGTCAACAACTTCATAAACGACGATCTAAAATTAATATCGACCCCCACTGCTGATAAACGTACGGTAAAGGTGAAAAATACAATCACTTACTTTAATAAGAAAAAGAAGAACGATGCAGGTTAATCCTAAAGTCATATCCCAGAGCCTGAAATAATTGATTTTAGTTTAAAATGGAAGAACTTAGTGAGCACTAACAAATTGGTCCAGATTCTACTACCAACCACCACGACTACCAACAACTACATATAGGTATATCAGTTAACCTATTTTCACAAAGTCAAGCTATTGAGAATTTACTTAGACATTGACTGAAAATGTTACCTCCTTGTATCGTAAATGTTTGTAAATGAAGCTAGCGAATACATCACATCAGAGGCCTCGAAAGAAAGTCTGTGAGCAAAAAGTCACAACAGCGTTTCTGTTGGGGGCTTTGATTGGCTGTATTCGCTGGCGTACAATCCTGTCAAATCGTTTCATTCCACACGAGAAGTGGATATTGCAGATATTGCAATAAAGTTCGTAAAAGCTTGACATTGTGGAAATGCAGAAACCGGAAGCGGAAGTTAACTTGGCAAGTACTTTCTAATCTTTCCATGCATCCTTTAAATAGCCAGTGAAAGATATCTGCTTTCTGTTAATAAAATAAGACGACAGTTACCTTGTTTCTTCTATTTTGGCAAATATTTCATAAACCATTTCTAGAAATTCTCGAGGAATATGCCGTAAGCCGAGAACATGCTGAAAAATCAAATAATACTAATGAATGTTTAATTTTCATGTTCACGTCAATGTATTCGACAAAACAGGGAGATCTTCTTTTGTGTCAGGCCTCAATTTATGCTAATATATAGAGATCACAAAATTTATATTTTCCATGTTAGGAATCGGCTCATTAGAAATGGTAAAATAAAGCCACTTGGAATGTAATTCGCGTGAGCATCCACCCAAACTGTTTTAAAATGTAAATGAATCATTGAAGCATACCTTGACTTGGCTAAATGCAATGGTGATGGCAGCTGCGGATGTGAAGGCGTTGATGACGGGATAAGAAATAAAATTAACGATTATACCTAGAATAAAATACAGAGAGGATGTCAAATCAGATCTCCAGAAAAACAATTTCAGGCTTCTTAGAACAGCTATAATGAAGTAGCTAATTGCTCGCATCAACTTCACACAAGAGGATAAGGACTAGAGGCTAAACAGGATCATCCGAGAAGAACAGCTTCGGAGTATCAGCAAACTTGTGTATCATGATATCTGTGTTGGATTCAGAACACTGTCAACCTAGCGAACAATTCAAGACCTTTTGATGACTAGCATCTCATATATGGTTGGTGAAGGGAACCAAGCACATCTAAGTGTAGACGGATGTCCAAACAGTTCAAAGGTGCTCCAAAACCTAATGTTTCGTCATTTTAAAGCAATATGAGGTTTCTTTTATTATATGCAGCCGAACTCAATTCACTGATAAGCATGTCGAGAGAGATGTCTTTTTCATTTATCTTACCTAAATTCAACATTCCCATAACTAATTGAACAACACCACACATTAAAGTCAGTATAATAGCATACGTTGCATCTCCTTCTACTTGAGAATGTGCAAATGTTCCAGTCATTAAAGACATAATAGCTGTTGGTCCTAGTGTTATATCTTTACTGGTTCCCAGAAAACAGTACACAAAACATCCCATAAACGCCGAATATAACCCATACTGAAATATACATATACCATACAGTCTCAAAAGCACAGATGAAGTAATCATTTTCACTGAATAGGTAAGGATAATGTCTCGGCCAAGGGAAAACAGTATGCTAATAAAGGTCAATCTGGAACCAATTAGTGAGCAGGCGATGCTAAAGAGATCCGAAGAGGTACAGACTGCTGGTTTGTCAAACGAACTTTCCTTTCAGGGAGTCCAAAAGGCTAATACTGTTCGTTTGGTAATTGCATACATACCAATGCAAACAGCCAATTGTTGAAGCAGAAAGGAGTTTTGATTTTGTTTCAAACATGTTAAGTCGATGCAAATCGCTGGCAACATTTAGGGAATCTTTAGATATTAGAATCTAAACCACTAATATGGGGATATCAAATAAGTATTCTTACCTGCGGCGGCAGACCAGCAACTTTAGCATAAGCTAAACCTTGAGGTATAACAGTCAGCCCTACTGTTAATCCAGCTATAACATCACTCTGAATATCTGTAATTCTGTAAGAGAAACAAGAGATGTTTCAAACAAATTGAGTCAAATGTGTAAGGGATATAGTCTCAATTTCCAGTCAGGCGTCATTGTATATCATCTTAGCACAATGAGGTGCAATATCAAACTTGACACTCACCCGTACGTTGGGAGCCATTTTAAAATTGGTAATCTGTTCTTTAAGGTAGTAACTGTACAATGATCTTTAGCGATTTTCTTTACTTTACCACAACAATTGGTATCTTCTGTTGGGTGGACTTCCTGTATCTGTTGGTCGAAGTAATAACTGTGACCATTCGTACCGTTCTTTATATTTTTCTGAAGTGAGAAAATAATGACTTCGTATAGATTAGATATTCAATAGTGAAGCTTTCTAGACACTGAGAAGACAGCGAGTTAGTTTCGAGGATCGTTTAGCTGTAATTTGAAAAATTCTGATTTTCCTAAATTAAGTTAGCTTTTTTCAGAAATTAAAGATCTTGCCTTCGAATGTGTATCGGGGACACTTGAATCTTTCATTTGAACCATTCTGATGTTCCGTCCGATTACAGTCCTTATAGACTAATTATTGCACACAAACTTGACCACATTATGACGTATTTGCGATAGTGAGGTCATTAGTTTTTGTGTAATTTCACAAACTACGGTTAACCTCTAGTTAAATAACAAACATAAAAATTCACGCAGAGCTTTCTTAAAATTTAATGTTTTTAGACATTGGAAATAATATTTTCCTGAATTTAGACTCATTCATACACAATACAAGTGTAAAACAAGTAGTACAGAAGGTGTGAAATTCGTTTAATTAGTTTTGTAAATAAAGGAATTAAAAGTTTAAATGTAGTAATCATTTTGTACCAGATCAAACATCGGGTTGAATGATAGAATGCTGTCAACGTCAAGAATTTCTCATAATAACAAAACATACTTTCAGAAATGATAGGAGTGTCTTTGTCAAAATGTCGACCATTTCTAACATTCGTAACACATCTACAAGGTTCATTCATTTAGTGTATTTATTTCTGAACATTTTGTAAGGATATTAACTGCTAAGTGAGGAGATGTTCTTAAGGTCAAAGCCTTCTGAGTCAATGAGACGGGGTTTATGCTATGACATCTGTCTGTATTCAGAGATCTGATAACATATAAACCTATATGCTACATAAATTATTAGCATTCAAAAAAATCACTGCAATATCATTGTTACATGTATAAATTAGAAAACAGATAATGTTTTTTTGTGTGTAAACATTTTAAATTTACGAGTGGGTGTAGGTCATGTGATATGCCAAGAACACCAATATGGACTTGTTACGATATATTAACGATATTTACTGGTATTTGATGTTCCTTTATCACTTTCACTATCTGTTATCATCACATCTTTCAGATAACAGAGTTGCAGAACAACAGTATCTAATCTCGGAATCCAGTAGACGTACATTTGGGAAAATTCGGGGAAAATTTTACAGATAACGAATCACTTCTTGTAGATAACAAGTCATTAGCAGATAACAATGTAGTGAATAAGATTTTTACTTAGTAATAATAGAAATAATAATTTAAAAATCGAGATTAATCAAATTTGAAGTAGACCTATAACAACTCTGTATCTAACTACAATATCATTTTGCTGACCTGTTGAAATTGTAAAACCAACCTGAATTTATGTGATTTCTGCAAAGAGGTTTAATAAAATTTTCATATGTATCGGGGTCTGACAATCTGTCGTAATCAGACGATTGATGCTATCAGTGTTTCCGATACAGATACCTTTTTTTTAGAAGATCTCTTTACGATCACTTTAAAACATCTCCTAAAAACTCTACAAAGATCAACAAAGAACTCGTTTAATAATGTACTTTAATTAAGCAGCTCGTGTCATTACGTGGATATTTCTTTTGAAGATGTGGATATAGGTAGACGTATGTCTTAGTGACCATTGAGTACCGACTACCAAATCTTAGCTTAAAGTCTTCATTCAGTTTAAGTCAATTTTAGTAATCTATTTAGAATGTTTATTATCACAGTTATTTAGTGATGTTTATTATTTATCTTTCTTGTTTATTGTTTGTACTGAAGGACAGTAGTTAACTATAATACACTTTCAAACAAATTGTTTCTACAATACTTTTAAGACCTTAACGGACTAAAGATACACTCACAAATTTGAAACCCACATTTTAAACAAAGATTTCTTCATCCCACGAGATTTTGAAATAAAGAAAAATATTAAAATAATATTGCGCATATTAATAATAGAAATGGAATGGAAACTTGCCCAGAGAATTGGTATAGAGGAAAAACTTCTGCAATGGAAAATAATTCTGCGGTCAAGTATGAGAATATGTTGGTACATGTTGAATAATCATAATTGAATATTTCTAAATCGTTTAAATAAGTTCATGAAAAACAACATGATTACTCGGACATCATGGCTAAAAAAAATACAATTGAAATTCCAATTCCAAGATGTACAAAGCACACTGGTGTTCAGAATGCGAAATTGATGGAAAAATACTTAGAGGAAATAAGATATTATTATGAATGCCTTGTCCCTACCTCTCAATTAATCGAAACCACAAAATAGCATTATGTCTTACCATTTCAACGATAGATCCCTTTACGGCCATTGTTTCACAAAAACTCTAATTCTAGTATAGTACGCAACGCCTTAAACGTCTTCAGAACATGCATCACCAAATATAAATCGTCCATGTGACGAAAACAACATGTATATCATAAATATTCACTTATCACGGTTAATAAATTGCAAAAATGAGGAAGTGACGCGTAAAAATCGGACAAAGCTGATGTCAGATGGTGATATAAGATATGATAATTATGACCAGTGTTTTGTTTTATTTTAGTACGATATGATATGCATCACGAGTGCAGTTAGACCTCAATTCCTTAACCCATTGAACCAAAAGAAATATAACACATGGGAATATTTCAGAGACAGTGTACATTTGATCTAAAATGGGTCAAAACATATCTTTGCTCATTCTAGATTTTTGAAATAGCAACATTAAAATAAATCAATTCTGACATGATTCGTGTTTCATCTATTGTTCTAATACAGTGGTTTTCAACCTGTTTTTTATTTGTCTCCAAATCAAATCAGCATTCAAATAAAATAAAGTGATAGTAATATTTTCAGAGAACTCCTAGACAATGTTATAGTGCAGTCATCATATGTTGTATATATTGTAGTTAGAAGGTTTTTATTTTTCACAGCATGTGACTGGCTGTGACACATCAAATGTCCCCAAAGAAAAGTGCAAATGTCCCCACCTTGGGACATGTCCCTGTGGTTGAAAACCTACCTTCTATCATTATAGCCATATGCTTGTGTGCACATATGTGCACATGTGGAGCATGAGCCATAATCAATGGCAGTGTTTTAACCTTTGACCAGATGATATCTGTTCTGAGTATTTCTTTGTGGCAAAGGAATCATTTGGACAAAGAGTGACCTATTGATATTCTGCCACCTGCTAAAATACGAATTCGCCCATGTCAAGTGGGGTTATTTCTACTCTTCTTTAATTTATCTTTAAGATAACAGCAAACGTAACGTAAAGGTTTGCCAACTTGAGGCATATAACATCATTACATCGGTATGGCACCAAAGATAATAAGAGATGACAGTCTCAACTACATTTGAGAATTTTCTTGAAAGAACGTTATATACCCCGTGACAATTTGAAATAACAAAAAGAGTAGGCTAATGTTGCTGCCCTAAAAAGGTTCTCCCTCATTGTACACTATCTGGCATCCCCCGTCTTCATAAGCATAGGTGCAAGACGTAAAACACCATTTCATTTGTTGGAACAAAGAACAAAACACAGTTGTTTATTATTGGTTTTGAATTTTTCAAACTAGGTCAAACATCCACCAACACACAGATGATTCACATTTTATTAACGGCTTGTGAAACTTCAACAGATCATCTTGGTGTAAACAAAGATAAGGAGGCTCTCAGAACGATAGAAAAGTCATCTTGACGAACATCCGCCTTGTAAATTCCACCGAGTACCGTCGAATGTCATCCAACCAGTGGTGGCAGAGTGGTACAACAAACGTATCGGTTCTCAAACACCACGAGATGAGATGGTGATGTCATTCCCGTACCTTTACCATATAGGTTCATTTCATTTATCAAGTAGTTAGAATAGTTTTTAAATGTTGTAGTGTCACTTGCTGATCTAGTTTTATCAGCAAAAAACATCGTTAACATTAACAGTTGTAATTAAAGATAAGTAGAGATTGACACTCGTTAATTTCTAATCCGGAAAATATTTTTTGCATTACACTGGAATTGACGTCATCACCTAGAACTGCTGTCTGAACGTTGTTGCGCGGTTTGTACAGTCCCCGTGAGTAAGAAAAGGGAACAAATCAGTCTTAAATGTAATTTTACGTTTCAATTTATCGGCAACCCAATGAGGCAGTATCAACGTAGTGGAACAACTTTAAATTAACCTGCAACTGGACATTAATTTACTTCAAAGCCCGATTTTGGCAATGATGTGTATGATTTTAATCATGTGTAGCGACTAAATCCACAAAAAAACTGCCAAAGTGCAGTATCTCAGTGTCATAGTGCTCCAGGTCAATTCTACTAAAATTGTCTGTAATGTCTAATCAAAGGCGTTTCTTCCCCTTTTATAATGCTTCAAATTCGACCAATCGTTTAATAACAAAACTCGGTTAGTAAAACGTAAATATATTTTTAGCAGTGAGTAATTCGAGGTCAAGTTCAACACACTGTGGGTCCATGCATCGCAGTACCAATGCATTTTTATATTCTCTTAACCATGCATTAAAGGTCCCCTGTGGTTTTACAGAAGCCATTAAGAAGGCCACCAGCGAGAATATGAAAGTGGTATTGTGCATTAACAATGCTTATAAATTAGTCAATGGCAGACGTGATACTATTGTAAATAGTTGAATCTTAGCATTCGTGGTTTTAATATTATAACGTGCAAGGCTATGTAAAGGTCAAACAGTATGTTTATGCTTTTGCGCTCGGGCATTTTATGCCATGGGATTTTTCGCGCCATTTTTCAAACAATAGGGGAGTGCAAAAAGTGTGTGTCACAAATCACATCGGGTTGGATTAATTTTATTTAAACTTACAGAATCAAAGAAAAGAAGAAAGGTAAAAAAAAAAAAAAACACCATCCAACAGCAGAGGAATGGCTCAATCGGTAACTAGTTGGATTGTCTTTTGCAAGGCGATTAGGTGCCATGGGATTCAATCCTACACACTAAGTACGAAAATTCTGCCACGGTATGTTCTTCCAAAAGTCGTCCCTGTTAACCCCCTAGCTATCTTCCATGATGATTACAAATTTATTATATAAGTATCTATTCAACTCTCGTATATAAATAGCCTCCAACTGAAAATTCAGTCGTTAAGCAATATTTCGAGTTTCAATTTTTTTTAGCTGACTCATGTATATTTATAAAATGCAAACGATGCACTTTTTTAAGGACTTTATGCATATAAAATTGTTTCTTTTGTCAGGTTTTTTTCATTGAGAGGTGCAATTTAATTAAAGGGACAGATCAACTGAAATTAATCCGTAAATGCAATGAATACAAAAAGATCAGCAAATAACTGGATAAAGAAAACATCTGCTAAACGGCAATTTCTTCCGAAACATCAAGTACCGTATCTGATCTTTATTAATAGAACTAATTCTGTAGTCTAATTTTTATTGCATTTAATAGTAAAAGGCTTGGGCGAACTCACTTTGCACCTCTTTAAATTACCTAACACGAGGAATTATATTATATTACGTTCAAACAAAACGATGTATTTTGATCCAGGTATTCAAGGTTGATTTTGTTGTTTATTTCTAACAGTTGTTCAGATTTAAGTCGGTGATTAAATAACTAAATGGGCTCTTCCATTTAGAAAATATATTAACCGAAATTCGGCCAAGGGGCACTCACAATATTCAGGATATATACAATAATTTTGAATGGTTTCCAGAACTATTGTACGAAAATCTTCTTATCCCTTCAAAAATATCTCAAACTAGAAATTTGACTTTCCATTTCTATCTTCACTGGTTTCTTACCTGTCCGAATACTGTATCGACCAGTTAACGGGCATTATGGTGTTCACTTTCTCTAAATAAAATGATCTTACAACTTAAAGTGATGAACTGTACAGTAATTGTACTTGGTGAGGTCTTAATAAGGCGAGTCGTCAATGTAACGCGGATAATAATTGATATGGACATGAATAAGAAGCCTAAAACTTCGATGGTAAGCTATAATCAGTATTACTGCTTAATAATTTTCTTTCTGAGACTTAAGTGCATGTGATTGTGACCCATTAGATATTGTTCTTTGCCCATACACTATTTTTTGTAACTTCCCGGTTCAAATGGTCTGATTTTCATAAACGTTTATGTGAGCGAATAGTCAAAATCAAAATCAAAAACGAAACTAAAAGCATTCTAGAAACATTTCTGATTTTCCGTAATACGTATACCATTCGGTTAAAGAGAGACTGCCTACAATCATACCGTTACCACTGAACTCCAGCATCAAGGAAGCTATCCTGAACAATTGTGACTTTATTGTCACCATAATTGCAGAAAAATATGAAAAGTGGTTGTCTCATCGTCCTATTAGAAAACTAGAATTAGTAAATTGTTTAAACAATTTGATAATTTGGTTGCAGTTGGCACGATCCTGTAAGAGCTGCACTTATATTGGAACTGTAAAGCGGGCAAGGATATGTTAGATCTCTTTACAGCCTAAATCATTTGAGATGTAGACATCAAAAAGAGACATTATCTAATAAACACTAATCAAATGTGGACGATCATAAGATAATTTTTCATTCTTTATCAGTTTTCAGATAGTAATATTTACTTTGGTAAATTTTCACACTCATTGCAACAAATTGAAAAAAAGTCGGTGACATTTCTCATAGTAGGTCTAAGTGAAATAAGAATTTTGATTCCATCTCACGTTTTGAAAAAAATGGTTCGAATAAGCCTATCAAATGTAAAATTTTAAGTATCGATATTGTATCGCTCAGTAACCTTGATTTTGGGTTATATCTTGGCACTGGTCGAAATACGCAAAGTATCTAGATTTTTTTCAAACTCAGTTTTCTCTGTAAATGATTCAGGAGGTTTATGTGAAAAAGCGCCTATTGTAGGATTTCTGGGTGGTTGGAAACTCAGAAGAAAGATGTTGTCATTGTCCATACAATTGGTGCAATATCTAAGACATACTCTGTTAAAATCTCTGTTGAAATGGTATAATGTATATGAAACGGGCCTTTAAATCATTGATCGAATAGCTTTAAGTTTCATTACACCAAAGAGTTTGATAATGTTTACATCCTGAGGTAGCCTACTTACATTACTGTATTTTACTGGGATAATTATGCAGATATGTGAAACCACTAGAAGCATTAAATATAATTTTACACTGTCGACAAAGATAATAGTGTAAATGTCCTCATGCCTAGAGTATTTTGCAAATATCTCCTACGTAGCAAATAATTGGTTAATAATGGGGATCCAATTTAAACTTCCGTAATTAAAATGAGGTAAAGATACAGAAATCGAAAAAATAATATATATTTAATTGTATA